TCATACATTCATATAGCTACTTGGGTCTATTTTATTTCTGTTCTTTTTCACTCCCTTCCTTCCTCCCCGTTGATTCTCTACCTCTACTCTATTGATCTCCCTTTTACTCTTGCCTCTAATTTTCATTTTTTTCAGCTTTCATTATTTATTTTTAAAAACCTTTATGAAACTTTACTACAGAATGAAGTTTTTAATTTTTTTAAAGTACCTACAAAGTTCACAACAAAATACAAAATTATAAAATACTAAAAGCTTTTCCTTGATATCCCATTATCAGCACTGGTTTTGAATATTTTATTGGATTCCCAAACAATTATAATAAAACAAGAAAGGAAATAAAATGTCACACTTCACTGTCAGAGAATCAAAAATAATCAACCCCAAATGATTAGTTAAGAAAATGAGTAAAGCAATGGTCCTGGATACAAGATTAACTAGCCAGAGTTCTCCAGAGAATCCTGAGATTGAGAGATTAATGAAATGGCTGGTAACAATTGTAGAGATCAGCAAGATTGAAATCTGCAAGATGAGCCAGCAGGTTGAAAATTCAAGAGTTGACACTGTTGGGCTGGGGCTGTAGTTCAGTGGTAGAGCCCTTGCCTTACAGGTGTGAGGCCCTGGGTTTGATCCTCAGCACCACATAAAGATAAATAAATAAAATAAAGGTACTATGTCCATCTACAACACACACAAAGATATATATATATATATATATATATATATATATATATATATATATATATATATATATATATATATCTATAAAAGCTGACACTGCAAGCCAGTAGACAAAGAGCTCAGGCAGGATTTCTGTATTACAATCTTGAGGCAGAACAGCTTCTTCGGGATAGTTGTCTTTGCTCTTGAGACTCATGATTGGATATGATTGGATACATCCTTCCCATGTTATGGAAGGTAATTTGCTTTATTCAAATTCTAATGATTTATCTGAGAATTGTTTTTAATAAAGAGCTTTGTAACATCTTGAGTGGTGTTTCAAAACAATTGGGCACTATAGCCTAGCCAAGTTGACAAATAAAATTTAACATCATAGTCCACCCCTTGGCAATGTAGAATCTATATCTCCTTAAAATGTATTTAAATTATAAAGTCAATAAGGAAGTCATACTTTCTCCTGATAAGAAACAACTATCTTGCATGCAAGATACACCAGAGGAGGATGCAAAGTTCATGAGTTATGATCACTCTTCTCTTCATTATCCTATTATTTATATACTGAGATGTAAATTAACAAAACTTATATATGAAGTAAATGCATTTTATGTTATATAATAAGGGGAATGAGAGAAAATAAGAAACCTATACACATGTAAAAATATTCAGGACAAAATAAGGAACAAATATAACAATTACAATATTACAATTAATTTTTTAAAAGACTCAGTGAAATCTCAGCAGGGGGGGGTTCACCTTTTGCTCAGTTGGACCTTTTTACACTGACCTCACTGCATTTAGTCTCAAGAGGATGAGACTCCTATGTTCCTATTTGTTAATGTCATAATCTTACAAATTCTAATCTTAAACTTGACTGAGGTACTAGATAAAGGAGAAATTATTAGAATTCATAATAGTCTTCTCTATCCCTGGTAGAATTTCTAAGAAGGCCAAATTTGGGTTGAAATTCTCCATTGGTTTTTGAGAGCCTACTAGGTGATTGGTGCTTTGTAATACAGACTCAAATCAAATTTTCAAAAGGAACCTATACAATCTCAGCAGGGAAAAGCTCAACTTCAAGTGAAGACACTCTAGCACCTTTCTTGTATTGACCTTTGAATAAATTCTAGGGTCTCAATAGATTGAGAATGTGCTCCTTTCTTTTGTGCCTGGTGAAAATCTTAAAATCTTTTGAACCCTACATACCTCAACATGACTGAACATGTAGGATACATTTTTACAAGTGCCATTAGGCACAAGGCAAAACCAGGATTCTCCTCTGGAGCAACTAATAATTCACCATCCTTTTGATGCCTCTTATTTTTCTTTGCTGATAAATAATAGTATGTCTGCTAAGAAATACCTTTTCCCCTCTTGAAAGAATTCTAGGGTGTTTTGAGGAATTCAACCACAGTAGATTTGGTTATATAGTCATTTTCATGGCCTTTCCTCATCTTCAACTAATAAGGGAGGCTAAATTTTTGATTATCTACATAAGCTCACCCATGTGTGTATTTGTTCAGGTGTGAGGATCAAACAACATATCCATTTAAAATCCTACTGGCAATATTTAGATTGAGTATTCAACTACATCCCAAGAGCAAGTATTTTCCATGCAAAATCAGAAATCACATGCTAATCACCAACTCATTTGGAATAGATTTTGAACCTGTTATAGAGATGTGGGATGGGACATCTACAGAAAGTTGGAATGCTCTAAGTCCAGGGGTGGGCAGGTGATTCTGAGCCACCAGTTTTATAGGAAGCAAGGGTGAAAGGGTGAACCATTCAGGGAAGGCAGTGAAGATAAGGTTCTTATCAGCAGATATGGTTCCAGTTTGGACATGAAAGCACACTGAAGAATGCACAAGGGAAAGGTTTACTCATTGTGAGAATGTGCTGGTATAAGATTCATGTGCCAGCACCTGGGAAAAGTCTACGCTTAAGGAAACCTGGGGCTAGGCACAGGAAGAGCCTCAGAAAATGAAGTCCAAAATAATCCCTACCTTAGCCTTATTCTTATATTTACCTTCTTTCTTTAGGCCTGCTTTTGGTACTTTGGCTAGAGAGTACTGTCATTTTAATAGTCTGTAATATTTTTAGAGTAGTGAAAATAATAGTTAATTAAGAGCCAAAAGGTCTGACTGAAGTTAGGAGAAGTGGAAAACATGGACTCTAGAAAAATTCTAGCCAGGTTATATCAGAAGTCTATTCCAAGCAATATCTCTTATCAGCCATGTGAACTTAAGAACATGATAAGTTCTGTAAATTATGTTTTATAAACTCTATCTTGCAAGACTGTTGGGATATATGTTATGGATATAAAGCACTTAGCAGAGAGACTGGAAACTATTGTATCTTTACTGAATGGTAGTTAGCATGATACCACCTTCCCCTCTGGGGAAATTTATTTATTATTAATTCAAGAGAACATGTAGCTTTGTAGGACACCAAATTATTCCATAATGTTCCAGAGCAAGTAAGTCCAAATAAAACTTTCCTTGTTTGAGGGTAATTTAGTTCATTTACAATGTGGGGGGGTCTTCTTCAGTTGTTTGCAACTTGAACTTCTAAAATTTGTGTCAAGAACCAACAACTTCCCACCCAGATATCTTTCCATCCAAACCACACTCCAATTTTTATTCATTTCATAATCATCACATATGAAATTTTTCTAAATTGCATGCATGATAACTTACCTAAAATGTCTTTTTAAAGCATTGAGATCTGTCTCAGTTCAGGACAAACAGAACCAAGACAGTAGCTTCTAGGCATCTTACTTCAAGCATGTTTCACTCTTATTTAGAAATTTTCTGTGCATGAAACAAATGGCTTGCATTGTATGTGCAACTAAATGTGAATGAGATATCCCAGGACACTATTCATTTTTACCCTAGGAGAAAGTTTCTTTGTGGTTTATTTTTGATACCAAGTTAGCTCTTAAGAACAGGTTTACAATCCACGGTTTTGTCCTTCTGTGCTGACACACATCATGAGTGTTTGATCTTGGCTCATCAGTCTCACAGCTTAATCTAGTCAATGTCCAACTTAAAAGTTCCATTATCCCATGGTACCCTTGAGAGGACTCATTCCAGGATACCAAAATCCATGGATGCTCATGTCCCATATATAAAATAGCATAGTATTTCATATACCTAGGTAACCTTCCTGTATACTTTAAATCATCTCACCATCACTTATACCTAATATAAAGTAAATGATATGAAACAGTTCTTATACAGTATCATTAGGGAATAAAGAAGAAAAAATCTGTGCATGTTCAGTACACATGCATTTTTTTCCTAAATGTTTTTGGTCTGTGGTTGATTGATTCATGGATACAGAAGGCTAACTGTATATCACACTGAAGGATTGTAGTTTCCCAAAGCCTCAAAGGGCCTTTCCTCAGGATATACTTACTTTATTATTTGTAACCAGACATTCCCCCTCACTTTTCCCAAATCCCTTCCTACTTCTTTCTTGTTGCTTATCTTTTGGTATTAGAAGGTACTTCTCCATTTTCCTTATAGAATTACTGTTATTTGACTGTAAAGTTTTGTGTCCTACTTTCCCTGTCTCTAACAAAATCACTTCCAATGAGCAAATACTCAATTAGTAATTGGAAATAAATGAGCCAGTGAACATGAAGTCTAGTTTATAAACATTTATTTTTTTCCTATATTTTAATAAGTTAAAAAATCTATGTGTCTTTTATCTTTAGAAAACAAACTGAAATGGAATAAAGACTGAATACCTTTTACTTTTCTCCCCCTTTATTTCTTGGTCCCTCAAGTTTTACTGGTAAATTCTTTTAAATTGTCAAAGAAATGCCTATTCCACTGCCAGATTTTCTTGTTCTGGTTCACTATCTATGACAGATTTACCAATTGTTGTACAAAATAATAAAACTCCTAATCTTAAAACTATTAAATAATAAATATGTAAATAAAGTCATTAATAATTTTATATTCTAAAGTTAATGAAACTTATTAAGGAAAAATTTGAAATACAGCACAATACTCTAAATTAGGCATATAGAATGGGAACACAAACACATACACTGTGTTCCCTTCAGACCCACCATGGCCATCCACTAAGAATGCTCATTGTTCTTCATATCCACAAAGATAACAATCTTCCTCAAATTTCAATACTTGAAATATAACCTAGAATAAAAGGAAAGAAGAGTAAAATTCCAAGTTACCAGTATACAACAAGAAAGTAAAGATGATACTCACTTATTCCCTCCAGCCCCTGACTAGCCATCTACTATTAGGAGATTTACACACCTTTTCAAGGAAAAAGTGAAGAACAAGGCTCAGATTTCATTTAGCATGGGAGAAACTGCTGGCCCTTTCCCTGGCCCTGGAATGTGAATTGGCCATAGCAGTATTGCGAGCCCATGCTGCAACTCTGGCTTGAGCTCTCTCTTCCTCATCTTTCAAAGCTTCTTCATACCAGGATGGGAAGGCATTGGGGGTAGTATCATGGATTCTGGCCAAAAACTCTAGGATTTTCATCTTGCTGGTTTCAGCATTGGCTCTTGGTCCCCACATGAATTCATAACATGGAGGGTCACTGTTGGGGACCTGCTGGGACTCCAGATACTTTAGCTGCATCAAATCTTCAGTGATGACCTTCCTGGGTTCCCCATAGATGAAGTGCTTCCTATCAGCATATACACCCATCATATTCAGCACCTTCCAGATCTCCTCTTCAGAGGCACAGTTGCCTTTCATGAAGATCACACCCAGTACAATCATTAGGAGACCCATTTTTGGCATGTTCTCTTCATCACCCATTGTTCCATCAAGGGTGTAGTCTAGTTTGCTAACAGGGTGGGTCTCTGTGGGGCTGCCTCTGTTTGGGGGGAAGAGTGCCCATATATTCACCTTGAAACCGCTGGTTCCTTGTATTCCTTTCTTTGAAGGCTTTATCCTGGACTCCACAGCACACTGAACCGGAAATGACTGTTGTCTACTTCCGGCCCCACCCACTTGATCCTGCTTGCTTAATAGGGGCGGAGCTTTATCAGCCCACGTTTTTTTCTGGAGAGGTGGAATTTCCTGAGAAGTCAGGTAAAGTCTTTTCATTGATTATTACTAGAGTTGGGGCTTCTCCCTATGCTGAGCTGGGTCAGTTGGTCTCAGACCAAGGCTGTCATTTCACTGAGCATCCTGAGTAGGAAATAAGGTGAAGCCTGAGGCTAGCATTCCTGCTGGTATATCTCTGTGGTTCTTTACTTGGGTAGATGGTCCTCTTAATCCTTACTCAGTGTCTTGTATTGATTACTTATAGTTGCTTACTTTATCTCCCTAATGCCAACTTGAGGCTGGCTCCATCAGATAAAGTCTTAAATATATAAATAATTTCAGTACAATAAAAATCTGTACAGTATTATATTCACCATAATTAAACATAGTATATTCCTCTTATTGCTCTATTGCTACATCTTGTACCTGAGTCTGAGTTCATTTTAATAGTTGATTTGATAAAGTTTTGTATATTTTTATTCTTTCCATTTGGATGTTGTTTCTGTTTTTAAATTAATTTCTTACCTGATACATTAAAATGTAGAAATAGTATACATTTACAAGGCATTGTGATGTAATATATACATTTATACACATGCATACACACACACACACACACATATATATATATATATATATATATATATATACTTTGTAATCAGAGTGAACATATGCATATGTTTATTTTATAGTTACCTTGCTGTGCAATAGCACATTGGAACTTCCTACTCCTAGCTATAACTTGGCATTCATTTATTAATCATTCCCCATCCATATTCTTTCTGTCCTCTGGTAACCACCATTCTGCTCTCAACTGCTATGAGGCCAGCTTTTAAAAGTATTTCACTTATGAGGGAGATTGTGCAGTATTTGTCTTCCTATGCTTGGCTTATTTCACTTAGCATAATTATCTCTTGTTCTATCTATGTTGTTGCAAATGATGGGATTTCATTGTTTTTCATGGTTGAATAATATTCCATTGTTTAGATGTACCACATTTTCTTTATTCATTCTTCAGTTAATGCACACTTAGGTTGTTTCAATTTCTTAGGTATTGTAGCAATACGGTTTAAGTTAACATTTGAGTGCAGATACCTCTTCGACATTCTGATTTCATTTCCTTCAGATATGTCATAGCAGGGTTGTTCGATCCAACAGTAATTCTACTTTTAAGTTTTTGAGGAACCTACATATTGTCATTTGTGATTACTGTACTAATTTCCATTCCAATCAACAGTATACAAGAGTTCCCTTTTTTCCACCTCCTCACCAACACTTGTTAGCTTTTGTCTTTTGATTCTAGCCATTCTTTTTGGAGTGAGATGATATCTCATTGTGGTTCTGGTTTTCATTTCCCTCATGATTTGTGGTATTGAGCAATTGTTTTATATAACTGTTGACCATTTGTACATCTTTTGTGAAACTTCTGTTTAGATCTATTATCCATTTTAAAAGTGGGTGTTTGCTTTGTTGAGTTTTTGTATAGTGCTGTATTATTGAGTTGTTACATGGAGTTCCTTACATTAGCCCCTTTTAAGATGTGTAGTAATTTGCAAGTTTTTTCCCTTATTCTATAGGTTATTTATTTACTTGATGTATTTCCTTTCCTGAATAGAAGCTATTTTTTTTTAATTTGATATAATCCTATTGTCTATGTTTGCTTCTGTTTCTATGCTTTAGGGGGTACTGTAAAACAAAAACAAAAACAAGCTTGCTGTTTTAGCATTCTGAAGTGTTTCTACTATGTGTTCTTCTAATAGTTTCATGTTTTAGATTTTAGTCTTATTCCATTTTGAGTTGAGTTTTGTAACTGGTAAGGATTGGAAATATGCAGTTTCATTTTACTGCATATGGATATCTAATTTTCCCAGCACCATGGTTGAAAAGACTGTCTTTTCTTCAGGGTATTTTCTTAGCACATTTGTCAAAAATCAGTTGACTTTAGATGTGTGGGTTACTTCTCAGCTCTCTATTATGTTCAATTGTTCTGTGTATCTGTCCAGATGTCAAAACTAGGCTGTTTTGATTACTACAGCTTTGTGGCATAATTTAAAAGTAGGTAGTGTAATGCCTCCTACCAAAGTAGGCATCTTGATCTTTTTGATCAAGATGGTTTTGAACTATTCAGGCTTTTTGATATTCAGGATTTTTTTTTGATGTTTTAGGATTTTTTTTCTAGTTTATTTTGGTATTCGTGAATATAGCTATATGCTGGATATACAATCCAGTTCAAGTTTGATCAGTGACAGTTGGTACCATTCTTTTGTGCCTTATTTCAGATTTTATTGGGAATGCTTCTAACATTTCACATCTAGGTAGATTTTCTTTGATTTTTTAATATTAAAACTCTATTCTAATATAAAAAGTTATTACCATGAACTATTATTTAACCTTTAACCAATTTTTTTCTTTACATCTGCACATGGTCAAATGCTTTCTCTTCTCTGTTAACAGTAAATTCCAATACACATTTTTCTGATGTTATGGGGTCTTCTTTCCTTAGGAACAGCCTGTTTCCTTATTTCTTCATTTAATTCACTGCTGTATTAAATTGGCTGTAACTTTATTTATAATATTTTCTCTCTTTATATGTGTGAGCCTGGCTCAAGTATACTTTTCTTGGGCCATCATAATGTAGTTTTTTCTATCAAGGAGAACTTAAATCAGTTGAGTAATTTTCCATCTTCTTGTATGGTTCATAAGAATTAGTATACTGATGAGTTTTTCCTTTACAGCTTGGTTTAAGGGGCTTCCAAACAGCTGGATCTAAAAGATTTTGTAGGTGCCCAGGGACTAACTATAGTTTCAGTTTTTATTTGTGTTACTTTGGTTTTTATCACTGTGACCAAATACCTGACAGGAACATTTTAGAAAAAGAAAAGTTTATTTTGGCTCATTGTGTCAGAAGTCTCAGTCCATGTTGGCTTACTCCATTGCTTTCCCCTTAAGTAAGGCCAACACCATTATGAAAGGGCAGTGGTGGAGGAAAGCTGATCAATTGTGTTGGCTAGAAAGCAGAGAGGGAAAAGAGAAGTGGCCACAGGGATGATGAACCTTTTTGGAACATGCCCTCAGTGACCCACCTCCTTTAGTCACACCCTATTTGCATACAGTTTTACTACCCAATTAGTCCAATCAAACTAGGGTGGACGGATTAGCTTACAGTTCTCATGATCTAAGAATTTCACCTCTGAATATTCCTGCATAAATACAGGAAATTTGGGGGGACACCTCATATCCAAACCATAACATTCCACCCCCAGCCCCCAAAAGCTCATGTCCATCCAACAGTGCAGGATGCATTTTTAGTCCATCTCCAAGAGTACCCATAGTTTTAATAGTTTCAGCATTGCCTACCGTTGGCTTTGCTGTTTGTAGTGATCATGGTCTCTTTCTTAGCTTGGCTTTGTCTATAATCAGCAGTATTCCTCAGCACACAATCCATATTATTGGAATCTCTTAATTCCTGGGATATCCATTTCAGCTTTGGTTTTATCTACATAGCCTCACATATTGCCCTCTCAGTGGTAACCTATAGGAATTTCAACCTTGACACACTTTGCCTGGCCTTCCAGGTCCTCCTTTAAAAATATCAATGGAAGCCTTCATGATGCCCTAACTCAACCATCCTGCACTCCTGCAGAACCAACACCAAGTGTGCAATGCCAAGGTCTGCCACTAGTTTGATCAGTAGAGAAGCCCATTTGGGACATGGCTGTAGTGTACTCTGAGTGCATTTGCAGCTGGGCATGGTGAAATAACTTCCCAAACAAGCAGGGTGCTCCCATGGTCTCATCTCAAAGGAATTTTTACTTTTACATCCCTGAACCTACAATGGGTGTGGTCTTGACAATTTCTGAGATTCCCTCAAGGCATCTTTCCTGTTGTCTCAGTTGCATTTTATCATCTCTTTAGTGACTATAATCTCAACATCCATACCTCTCTTGGTCCATTTTACATGTCCTCTTCTGGTCAAATTGCAAATTATTAAAATCCCCTTCCTCTAGTTTTGCTCCCTGTTCTTGCGTCTTGCAGTGAACCTGGATAAAAATTGCTAGCAATATCCATTTTACTGCCTGAATTCCGTACTGTTTTTGAAATTTCCTCCACCAGATTAATTAGTTCACTTCCTTTAAATTCAGCCTCACAGAAAGTCTCAGGGCATGGGCAAAATGTAGATAAGTTCTTTGTTAGAGTGTAACAATATTTTATTTTATGTAATTTTAAATTAAAAATCCCTAAACCAGTTGATAATTGGCTGAATAACTCATCTATTAATAAATGTTATTCATGAGTATTATTAGAATTATCTATGGTCAGGCCCTAATCTTTGCCAGGAAATATTACTTGCACCTACATATATGTAATTGTGGTAAACAGAAAATTTTAATATTATTTCTTTAAAGCTATCTTTGCCTGAAAACATATAATTTCTGTGTTCTTTCCACACAGCTAATAAGTCAGTATGCAAGTTGGATTTTGTTTCTTTATAAATTCTAATATGGATTTGGCAAGTGATGAGTGTTGTTATTATCTAACCTAGTATGCATGTAAACCTAAAATATAAATTGTGGCCTTCTTCTTTCTGAGTTGACACATTTATTCAATATAGGATTCTTGTAGTTTATGTCAAGATTCTATTCATTATGTGGTAAATGTAAAAATAATTCATTTGTTTGAATAAGTATGCTAATGTTTTCATAGTTTTATTAAAAGAAAATTTCCAATTTCTCACTTCACTTGTTAGTAAGTTAAATGTTTACATTTTGCAGTGAATATTTATTTCTTGAGCATATAATTTTGGGACATATTTCTAGGCTAATAAGTCTGGAAATGTAGAATATCATAGAGCAAAGACACTCCACTATGGGTAAAGAGGCTTATGTTTATCACCATTCAACCATTATAACGAAATTTAAGGGCTTTTTTCTATTGTAAGTTCCTTTCTCCCTGTCCTGCACCAGTCCTACTCTTCCCTGAATGATATAATAATATCTTCTCAAGCAGAAGAAGGCATTATACATGATCTGGAAACAATTTAACCCCGATTCTGCTCCAGT